AACGTTATGAATTGTGGAGAGTTGTCATACCATTAATCTTCAAAAGATGTTCAGGGTTCATCAATAACTAAACATATTCCTTCTGCTAGTGGTGTCATTCTTACGCAAAGGAATAAGAATAACTGGTAAAGAAAGAAAAAGAAAGAAAGGAGTTTGGAGCAAGAGATGACGTTCGTGGTATCGAGGGAGAAGAATACGTTGATGGGACCAAAGGCACAACTGACTGAAACAACACCTCTACACGATATACAAGATCGGTGACCCAGGGCAGTGTCATTCGGAGCCGTCAACCAAACAGGGACCCATCTGGTACAACTACAAGCCTTCCCAACGCAACGACTGAGGCACTTAGAAAGAAATAGCGGCCCAGCCCAATGCAGAGAGACCCCAAAATCTCGAAGCGGGGCTAGATGACATGCGACGAACAACAGCTTTGGCACTGAGACTGGGATGTCCATTTAAAGACGAACGAGAAGAAGACGAAAACAACTATTCTCAAGGGATTCCTTTTCTTAGAGAGAACAGAAGCGTCGGAAACATAATTTCCTTCTATTAAGAACATACAATTCTTTCCTTTCTCCATATTGGATAATAAAAGGAAAGGGGGGAGGGTGTATGTGTGTGTATTTGGCTGGACGGGGGAGGGGGGGGGCAAGCATTAATAAGGTTACCACAGACCAACAGATGATAGATCCCAGCTAATGCTGGAATTACACTGCAACAAATGTATGAAGAGATGTATTATTATGGGTAATGTTACTTCTTCTTATTTTTTAAGCTATGACCTGCCTTTTCTTCTGGGTTTTTAAAAAATTACACTTGCATCTCTCCCCAAAGAGTTTCCTTCCGAACAACTTATTTGTGTCCAGAAGCGTCTATTTTTGGGAGCCTGACGTAAGTTACCGGCACGAAGGATAAATACTATACTTTATAAATAATCCGAATACCCAACAATAAAAAATATAATTTCTCACGTTGAGGAGACTCTTGGGGATGATTGGTGTGTCCAAAAATGAGCATTGAGAG